ACAAAGCCCTCACTTCGACGAGGATTCCCAATCGCTTTCGCGGTCTGTATCGTCTTCATCTCTCAACACATTCCCCTATCACCATTATCATGAAGCTAACCACGATCAGATCAGATGGTAGGGTCGGAGCCCCATTCATCATCAGCCTTTCATCATGGAGGAAAAGCCATCCGATGAGTTTCGGGGCGTGCCCATCATCCGATACGGAGATGGTGGATTGGATCAAGTCGGCCTCGACTGTTACAAAGAAGGGAGATATAGATGAATATGCGTACCTCATGTGGTCCCGGTGTCTAGGCCTCGCCTGGCTGGGGCTGCAGGTTTTTTGAGACTTTTTCCCGCGCACGCAGTTTCCATTGCTACCATTTTTATTTTTTTTGGGTAGAAGGTTCCGTGGAAAAGGTGGCTGAATTCCACGGGTAAATACTGAGCTGAATGGCTATTCATCAAGGGGAATATATCAATGATCTTTCAAGTAACAAAAGAGGATAGGAGCACTGTACAAGGTGTGGCCTGGGTCAGAGAGGAGCCTAATGTGCTAGATAGTCATAGACTCAAGTAGTACAATAAAACACACACACACATAAAACACACACACACATAAAACACACACACACATATATGGATACGTATGATTGAGCAAAGAAGACTTGATAATTTACAACTGTAGGAACATTGGACTTGTATATGCATTAAAGGGAGAAATTCCCACTAGTATTGAAATGTATAACCCACTACTTAGTTCGTGGACTTTATTGGTAAAGGGAAGCTTATGCAATAATGAAGGATAAAAGGATGTCAATTCGACTACTCTACTAAACACAGGTACCAGACTCCTTTTAACCCCAATAGATAGCCCGTGCGGGATCTCCTATTAACAGCAGTAAACAACGCTAGCACAGGGTATACGCAATCTCCATTCGCCAAACACCAGTCGGTCGGGACTACTGATTATCGAGCCTAGTAGGATCGATAAAGTGTATCCCAACACAGAAATAATAGAAAACTCAACAACCAAACCCTTCATCAATTACTTCCATTAACCATCACCTGACTTATCTCTGTACTCCATAATTTCAACAACTAGTCTCATATGCCTGTCAAACCTAGGGATAAACCGACACCACTCATCTACCATAATGAGCCAAGGTACATTGTAGTACGTAAATACCTGTTAGACACTGAGGGTCAAATGAAAGATGTAAAATAAAATTGTTTTGATGAAATCTCTGCTCCTCAACTCCTCTCCAGCATTGATGCTATTAACCCATTTGAAACTATTTCTGGATGAGGATATCTTCTCTTCGCTTCCCTAAATAATGTATAAAATATATTACATTTATTGGAGATCAAAGATCTCAAGCTGGAGCTTTGAAAATCCTGACATTCATGAACATCCTGATCACCATGTCCCTAGTGAGATACCTAAGCTTGAGTAAGTTAGTCCAAGAAGATGTGTCATCCCAATATCCAATAATTCTCATAACTATATTCAGTAGGTTCCAAGCTATTAGATGTTTGTCAATACCCAAACATAAATGCAATAGTAGGTGCAATTAGCGCACTCGGGACATGCGTAGAGAGAGTCGGTCTTGTCGGGAACCTGAGACGAAACAGGTAGTGGTTGAGTCCTAAATTCGAGAGTCAGAATTTTTAACACAATTGTAGCCGGTGGCGTGGCTGCTGCGGGTCTCGTATTTTCTCTAGCAGGAATCTGTACAGGACGTACGCCACTCGCAATAGTCATATTCCTCGGCTCTGTGGCTGTCACGGGACGTAGTTTGATGGTGTTGCCACTAGCAGCTTAAGCTGATGCTGATGCTGTGGATTGGAGATTGGCTGGCTAACCCCGCAGAACTTCTGCAAAGTGGCCTTGAAGGGCCAAACCGGAGGGCAAGACTGAACACCTGTACGCGGTGTCCTCTACGAACCTGGGAGTGAAATATTCTCCCAGAGCCAAGTTCAGTCAAATTTCGCAATATCAAAGAAGTTGGCCCACGAGGCAAAAATTCAAATTACTCCACCATGTCAATCTTTCACTCCCAAAGAGTCCGATTCTCAACTAAGCTTCATCAAGTCTACAAGTACGACCTAGTACATCCTCGTTTCAATGACCACACCTCTCGTCGACTTTCTCTGGCCTCAGCCGGTCACCAAATACACGCCCACGCCGACATTTATACCCGACGGAGGAAGCAAAGCGTGGAGCACAAATCTGGGAGATAGCTCTTTGGGATGGACGTGAGAGGGATCAGGACAAGTTCACAAGATGATGCAGAAGAAGGATACGTTTTCGACGGGCGTGCAATTCCGAATTTTGGCATGGAGTTTTACGAATTGAGCTTTGTGCGCGCCAAGACTTCGGTTGCGAGAGTGCAGCTAACACTATAAAAACAAGCAAACGATGGAAGGTGTTGTGGTCCGCCTCCTGGTGGTGTTCTCTGGTATAGTTTGAGTAGCCTGGGCACCTACTCCACTTGGGAAGGAGACATCTCAGATTACATTTCGCGCGGAGAAAAGTTGATGGATGACGGAGGCATGTCTAGATAACTCAGGGTTTTTGAGACGTTCCCCTGGGTGGGTATTCACGGATGAGGGTTGACTTGGGGTGAAGAAAAAGCCACCACAACTTCGCAGTGGTACTTGCAAATGAAATCCGAGGCATGAGTGCTCCTCTTGTAAATTGAGTCATCTTTTCTGTACTTTTCTTTGATATTGTGTCATAGCTAGATAGCTGCATACGCAATTAAAATCTGATGCAAAAAAAGAAAAAAGAAAAAAAAAGAAGGGCCAAACCGTTGTGGTCGATGGCTTCTCGGAACTCTTCGTCTATTTTTGATTAGACCAGGTTGCAATACCCGCTTACGATGCACTTTGCTTCTGCAAAACGTTCCAGTAAAGCCCTCACCTGTTTGGCGAGAAAGTTGGTCATATTTGCGGCCATGGGATTCGGGCCCGGATTTGTAGAGGGCTGTTGGCTCGCACAGCAAATTGAATCTTCTGTAGTGTGATTTGTGGTCTATTTCGACGTCTTAGCATGTCGAGTGTAACATGGGGAGAGGGGTCTATGGGCCAACCTCAGCGGAGGACTAGGGGGGCATGGCTGATCGTATTAATTGTTAGAAATTTTCAAGGATTTCTGGGAGGAAATATCTCGAAGAACAAGTGTATAATTTCGGACAAGAATTTATTATTAGTTGTATGTGATATCAAACTCTCTTCTCAATATGAATTTTTTTTTTTTTTTTTGCATCAGATTTTAATTGCGTATGCAGCTATCTAGCTATGACACAATATCAAAGAAAAGTACAGAATAGATGATTCAACGTGAAGGAAGAGCACTCATGCCTCAGATTTCATTTGCAAGTACCACTGCGAAGTTACGGTGGCTTTTTCTTCACCCCAAGTCAACCCTCATCCGTGAATACCCACCCAGGGGAACCTCAATATGAATTAATAATATGTAATACTCTGTTGATTTATTTTTACATGTAAAGATGAGTGTATCATTAAATACAGATCCCGAGGCTTTAGCGATCCCGAACTCCCAGTGATCTAGCAACAACCAGCCACTCAATTATCACAACGTAGCATTTCCTAGCCACTGCATTCCAGATGCCACTGAACCTTATTTCGTCCAACTGAGCTTAATCATATTCAATCGAATCAACTCAATTGATCTTGATGATCATACCTAGAAATCTAAGCCTTCATACATGCTGAGTCTAGATTTCCAACATTAATGGAAGATGATTTAAAGATAATTAGGCGTGGAATTAATGACTGAGTAGTGCGGAGTCTAAGATTGGATTTCCTGGAGAACTGTTCATGACGCACTCGAAAATGGTATGCCTGCTTGTGACATCTTCACTCGCTGGACCTAAGTCACAGCTGCATATCCTTCCTTGAAATGTGTAGACCCATTCTAGCAACATTCCCCTGGAACAAGACTCGAGCTTTGTATATTATGATTTGGCATCCTCCTCGGGGATATACACTGCATCGTAACTTTGCAGTGGGAGATGGCTGATTTTTGATGACACAAATTCCAGATTGCAACTGTTGCAACTACTTTGCCGTTCATTGAAGCGAGCTGGTTTGTAATATGAGTAAGTTGAAGGACTCGCATGAGAAAGATAGGTCCGATATTGAGAGGTGATCGTTTAGACATGCTTGAGGTTGCTTTCAACTTCGATTCGGATGCGGTTCTTCTGGGCTATCATAGATACGCAGAGTGTATTGAGCGATCACGCTGACATCATTGAGAGGTGAAGAATTTGTCTGTGTTATCACCAGAGGAATAGAGACGTATTGAGAAGTATTCATATGATTATTTATTATTATTTAACGTGGTGCTAGATATTCAGATGATTAACTAGTAAGGCTAGCCCCGTTCCTGTAGCCGACTCATGTGAACTCAGAAGAGCAGTAACTAGTGCACCGTTTACACTTAACTCCCTTCCAATGCTTTGCGTTGTAGATGGCAGTTCATCCACAGACGCGAAATATGGCGCCAAGATCCTTTGGCTGGCTCGAATTTACATGGATACGGTCATCTAGAATAGACGATATGCAAGATGTGAATTCGACTCTTCCCAAGATTTGTCACTTACGCACTAAGTCTAAATGGAAGCTAAGGAGGTAGATAGATATAAACAGTAAGAATTCGACTCATCAATTGTCACGATTACAAATTTTACAGATCATTCATAACAATTAAACCATGGTTCCTTCGGAGAGCCAAGTTCAAATGAGCAGTCTCTTTTCACGGATTATTAATTTGCCGACTCGAGCCAAGTACAGGCCCATGATTCAGGGGTCCGACGCGATTTACACGTATCACTACGAATGGATTTAAGAAGGGCTAGCTTGCGCAAAAACGACGTATTTAACGACTAAGTTCTATATGCCTTAAAACTGGTTACGAATTCGAACTATGGATGTCATCTTATCGGTCCGAATGGTATAAGTAGCATATTTACCTATACCGAGTCTCAGTTATGGCAACATCCATCGAGACACTGCGGCATGTTATCTGGGCGTGGGGCAATCAGGCAAAGACTGCTCCAAAATCACTTATTTTTGCAACTTTTCTTGCCATAGTGGTCTCCATTCTTTTTTTTGTGAGGCGTCTCTATTCCTAACAGACGAGACTGATTTTTAACCTGATATTGATTACAGTTTTATGCCGCCCTTTTCTTCCTCGTTCCCAAACCCAGAGCCCCTTTAGCGTCGGAGAGGACATACATAACTTCTGATCCATCAACCAAGGTCACCAAGCCCCGGAATCTGCCGTGCTGGCATGATGTATGGCTTCAAAATCGGCAGGGAACTGCAAACTCCAGTAATACTCTTGGGAAGTACACCAGTTTTATCGACGAGCCTGAAATAGAAATGAGTGTAGTCGTACCAGCCTACAATGAAGAAGAGCGTCTAACAGTTATGCTGGAGGAAGCGGTTGAGTACCTTGAAGCCGAATACGGGCGGAAGCCCAAACAACTAGAGAAGTCCAAGGTTACTCGAGAGCAGCCTTCTGGGCATAGAGTTGTCGGAGGATATGAGATATTAATCGTTAACGATGGTAGCTCGGACAAGACAGTCGAAGTCGCCTTAGAATTTGGTCGACGCCATAATCTACATGATATCCTGAGAGTCTGTACTCTTAAGACGAACCGAGGAAAGGGTGGCGCAGTGATCCATGGGTTTCGGCACGTGAGGGGCGCATATGCCTTATTTGCGGATGCCGATGGTGCCAGTCGCTTCACGGATGTGCACAAATTGGTGGAAGGATGTAAGGAAGTCGTAGATGCTTCGGGCCGGGCCGTCTCCGTAGGCAGTCGCGCGCACCTCGTCGAGAGTGAGGCCGTTGTCAAGGTAGGCACCGCTTCTGTAGCATCACTGAAGATGCACACTGCTAATACTGCTTGGTTACAGCGTTCGCTCATCCGGAATGTTCTGATGCACTCGTTCCACCTGCTCCTCCGTCTCCTGACCCCGCCCGCTACGTCACGGATACGTGACACACAGTGCGGCTTCAAACTATTCTCTCGCCCGGCACTTCCGTATATTGTGCCGTACATGCACGCCGAGGGCTGGATCTTCGATGTAGAAATGCTAATGCTAGCAGAGAGTGCACCGCCTGCACTGCTCCCAGGCGGCGGCGAGACGGATGCAGGCATCAGAGTCAAAGAGGTCTTTATCGGGTGGAAAGAGGTGGGCGGCAGTAAACTTAATGTAATTTGTGATAGTTTGGGTATGGCTTATGGACTTGCCTTGCTTAGGGCTGGCTGGATGCTCGGGGTATACAGACGTTGGTGAATTAGCCTCATGTATCAATCGAATTCGGAGTAGAACGATTCTGTCTGATTTTACCGCGCTTTGCCTATTAAAAATCAGTCTAAATGGCTATCAAATGAGCTTGTTTAATGCTATGAACTATGCTATCATATCCTATTTGCAGTCGGTTCTTTGAGTCATTCATAATAATAGCCTTCTTGATAACCGGCAGTGAGGCTTCTTTAAACATCCAGTCGATCTAGACTAGGAATGCTTCGCCGCCCGCATAGCACTTGATTTCAACACACCATTTCCAAGGCCACAAAATCCACGCCCTCAAAAGCTGAATACAATATAAATTTAAAAATAAAAAGGCCCACGCCCCGTACTCATCAGCTTCGCGACGGCAACATGCGCGCCACGAAGTCCTTTTTCGCCGCCTTCAAACCCATTTCTCCTCGATTCCAGAGTCTGCTCGTCAAACCTGCTCTCATTGAAAAAGGGCTTACCGTCCTGCTCCACCCTGCCGGTCGCTGGTCCCTCTCGCCAGACGGCCTGGCTCTCGAACGTCGCTTCCGTTTCGCCAATTTTCGGAACACTTGGGTGGGCACCGACGTCTTTTAACTCTTACATTACAGACTAACATGAGGTGACCACGTGGTCACGTGATCAGAAATTTATGAATTCGGTGGCCGCTGAAACTAAGCGTTTGGGTCATCATCCCGAATGGGCAAATGTAAGTGGTCTTAGAGTGAGATTAGCTCGAGGTAGAATGATACGCTCATGTCCTGTATAGGTTTATAACTCAGTCTTCATTAGATGGACTACTCATTCTGAACCTGGCTTAACTGACATGGACGTGGAAATGGCCAGGTTTTGTGATGAAAGGGCAGAGGAGCTCGGCGAGGCAAAATCCAACAGGACTGAGGATGAACTAGTCAGGGAGAATAGGCTAATTGAAATTCTTAATGTGAACAATGACTCTCAAGATTAACATTTAAATATCCTAGTTGACGTCACATTTTTCATAATTTAAACAGACAGAAGATTTCAGTTGGATGATGTACTACAGCGTCTATAACAGCAATGGCTTCTTGATACTCACTTCAAGAATTTGTGTTACAGGCTCATGCCTGGTTGTCGTTAGTATGTTGCCTAATAAATAAGACTGTACCTCTTCTACCTTTCCTTAACACTATCTATTGAAATGTTTAACCCACTACTTAGTTCGTGGACATTATTGGTAAAGGGAAGCTTAGACAATAATGAAGGATAAAAGGATGTCAATTCGACTACTCTACTAAACATGGGTACCAGATTCCTTTTATCCCAATAGATAGCCCGTGCGGGATCTCCTATTAACAGCAGTAAACAACGCTAGCACAGGGTATACGCAATCTCCATTCGCCAAACACCAGTCGGTCGGGACTACTGATTATCGAGCCTAGAAGGATCGACAAAGTGTATCCCAACACAGAAATAAAAGAAAACTCAACAACCAATCCCTTCATCAATTCGAGAAATTCGAAAATTCGAAAATTCATTTTTTCCCTCTTTCCTCCCTTCTCGACCTCGTCGCATCTATCTCTGAATTGTGATCGAGCTCAGGCATTTCACCATGCCTCCAGTTCGCAAAAAGCGCCCCAACGTCAAGTTGGACAACACGAGAGTCCACCCGAGGGCTCTCCAACAATTACCTGGCCTTGCCCAGTCTCCGAAATGCGCGGAGATGAGCAACGTCTCTACCAAAGGGAAGGAAAAAGCCCTCCCCACCGTCACTGAGCCCGATACTGACATGATCGGGTCAGTCGAAATTATTGAGGAAATCCCTCAACCACCCTCCGTCCCCCACGGGATTGGAGAATCGTCAAAATCTCCCCCGACCGCGCCAAAACTGTCGGAGAACGCTGCACCCAAAGCAGCGTCAAAATCAACGTCGCAGCCCAAAGCTGCCACGAAAGCAGATTGCCCTCCGGAACTTCGACCCATTATCGAAGCCGAGCAACGACGCGCCGCCGAAACAGCGGCAAATCTGGCCCTCTGCTCCGCCGCCATCTCTGGCGTCGAAGTCACCCTTCTTCCTTTGACCAACGGGTCAAACAGACAATTTGTAGACTCGATGAGAGTCTACCTACGCGCAGCCATCGCGCAATACATGGCCACGGGCGCGGCCTCCACGCCACCCGTCCTCCCTCCTCGCCCGGCGAACCCGATCCCAAGGGTTCCCGACGTCAGGAGCACAACGATTTCCGCCGTCCCAGCGCTGCCTATAAAAAGCACCTGGGCCACGGTGGCCAGAAATGGACTGCAACAAAAAGCAGTCCCCACTGTAAAGGCTTTTCCGCGACCTGCGGCAAAAGCCCAAAATAAAGAAGCTCCGAAGGCTAAAGTCGACAAACGACTGTTCCTTCGCTTAGAGAGCGATCACCCATGGCGCCAGCTTTCGCCTGACGGCATACGGCATCAATTATGTTGTAGGCTACTGTACACGTTGAGTGAAAAAAGCTCTATACACCGTGTCAGAACCGGATTTGCGATTCTGACAGCGGATAAAAATGAAAGGGAAGAGCTCTTAGATGCCTCACCGAAGTTGTCGGACTTCAATGCCAAAATCGAGGAAGCCTCCAACCTTGTTGCCTTTTGGATCGCGAATGTTCCAGCGACTATAAAATTAATCAACCGTATTGAGACGGTCGATGCCGGTAGGATCTCACTGGAGATTTACCGCAAAACACAACGACGTCCATGCCAGGTGCGACCGCAAGGGACATGTCGTCCTGGAGCGCCATACAGAAACTGGTATGCCCTTTTCAACCGGGACTCCGCCCTTCGTGCGGGCTTCCGAATTCTCGACGAGTCTGGAGCGGCTACAAAGATCCATCCTCGTCGCCAAATTGAATAGTGCAAACGCTATTTGGGCTTCCACGCCACCCGTGGTTGCTCCCGCGCCCCAGCGTGCTGGAACTGCGGATCAAACATGCACTCGGAAGCCGAGTGCAAGGCCCTCACAAAATGTCGCAACTGTGGGGGACCCCACCAATCGGATTCTCGGGACTGCAAAGTCAGACCCAGAAAGTCTGGACCGGTGACCAAAGAGCAGCTCGCGTGGATCCGCCAAGTCGAACAAGGGGAGTTCGCGAAGGTGGCACGAGCACGAGCAACAGCAAAGAAGGCTGAAGAGGCAATCACCGCCGCTGCAAAGGACGTCTCGATGGCCGAGGCTACAGGTTTCGGAGTTCTGGAATTTGAAGAAGAGGTTTGAGGACACAGCAGCCTCGACAATGTCCCTTTTGGGGCATATTCTAACCAATAGCAGGATACCGGCTGGATAAAAAGTGCCTGCTATCTCATCTCTTGCTCTCAGCGGAGATTGAGTAAATTTGTCATTTGGAAGATGTGGCAGGAAAGGGAACGGGCGAGATGCGCGGGATCCGGACCACATAAAAAATCTTGTAAATTTGATTTCAGTCTTTGGCTTTTAGTTTTGATTTTAGTTTTTGATTACAGTTTCTGAGTTATAATTTACCTGCTACTTTTTCTGTAGCGGGTCACGCGGTTGGAATGAGTTGGGCCTGTAAGCAGTGATCCCCGCCGGCTCCACCAGTCTTGTACCGATAGTGGACCTAGAGCTTTAGCTTAGGACTTTAATATAATAAAAAAAAAAAAAAAAAAATCCCTTCATCAATTACTTCCATTAACCATCACCTGACTTATCTCTGTACTCCATAATTTCAACACCATCTATGTCACGAGTGTGGTGGATTCTATATAGCACGTGATACAATGTACTTAATGCTAGATAGCACCACAATAAAACCACATGCTCCAGCCATTCGAATCCGAACGCTACCGACAAACCCATACCATTTACGATAGATACACAACTGGAAACTGACCGTCAAGTCGGCGACAATGCCTGCTTTAAGGTGGAGGAAAAAGCTCAACCCCAGCCCAGTAGGGGCTGCCTCATCCACGCGCATTACAAAGCGTAATAAACAATCATCCCCAACAGTCATCGTGGAACCTCGGATGCCTGTTGAACTAAATCAAGTTCCCCCCGCCCCTCTAGACATGCGCATAGATTTTGAGGATGAATTCATGGACCTCGAGGCAGAAGATGACGCGCTGCAGATTTTGTCTCAGCCGCCGTCAAACAGCCATATTCCGTCCGTCCCTTTACAGCGGACTACGCCCAAAGTTCCGAAGATCTTGTCAACTCAGGATCAAGGCCTTGCTTCATCCATTTTTGCGGTAGCAACCCACCCCCCTCCGAGCGGCCAAGCTACCAGAAACACAAGGCAAGCGCCTGCCCCAGCCGCGGCTGTACAACGCTCTGTGGCCAACCCATCATCGGCCACCACTAACGAACTGGCCACTACCCTTCTAGCCTGGCAAAATGCCGGGGCTATCCATCTCCGCTCCCTCCCACCTGCAATAGCGGCAGATCTCAAGGCAATCGTCACTCGTAGTGCTGCTAGGGTCATCGCTGGCCTATCTGTATTTGATCAGACAACCACAGGCGAAAACCCTCAAACAACCAATCGAAGCGCCGGGCCGGCAACTCGTCAACACCGTCCCGATACCTCTCAGAAGCAGACGTACGCGACGGCATCTTCCCGAAACCCCATTCTAGCGGCTCAGACTACCCTAACAAAGAAGACTGTTACTGCACCACCACCGAAGCAGGCCAAGTCTCCCCCCAAAGCGCCTAAGGTCGACTCAAGAGTTATCGTACGCCTACCGGCCGACCACTCGCTCCGAGGACAAGATACATTTCTCATCCGCACAAGACTCCGGAGACTAACTGACCGGCCAGAGCTCATCAAAGATGTGCGCATAGTTCCCTCTGGAATCGTCATAGTAGCGCCCACCGCCGCCCAAGCCCCCGAACTACTTCAAGTAGCCTCGGCATTTCAGACGATTACGGGAGACGCTCCAATAGAGCGCCAGGAAAATCGCAATACATTCATCTTAGGACCAGTCCCTAAGTTTGGCTACAACCATTTGGGGGAACGTGAAGCCCTCACCATGTCTGAAGTTCG